TCCTCCCCTTTCATCTGCAAACCAACCCTGTGAGGTAGGTTATGCTGAGCGGGCATGACGGGCTCAGAGTCGTTTGCACCTGGAAGTTTCTGCAGCGGAGAGGGGATTCGAACCTATAGTCTGGCACTATGATCACCAGACCACACTGACATAGTCCCAAACAAAAGTTGAAATTCTACAGCAGGAGGAAAAGAAAGCTTATTTTTGTAACTTGCAAAGCACGTTTATGTGCATGTTTTGGCTCTTTCCCCCCCCTGGAAGGGAGTTGTGAGCAATGCTCCCTCTAAGCTGTGGAGTCTTGTGAGGAAAAGTTCTACTTTGTGAGCTCCTGGCATTAAAGTTGTGAGCGAGTGATTTGGCTACTGCATAAATCAGTTTGCTCTGGAGCCATCCTTCCTGAGCGAAGACAAAAATGTGTGAGCCAGAGGCTAAAAAACTGTGAGCTAGCTCACACTCACTCAGCTTAGAGGGAACACTGGTCGTGAGAGGAGCGGGGGTGGGCATTGTTGCCCCACATGCTGGAAATCTGTACTGGTTTGGAGGGATGGTTCATTGGGTGTTTCTCACGCTCTTATCAAGCTTGACATTTGCAGGTTGGAATCGCCACTGGAGCACTCTGTGGCCAATAGTGCATGTCGTATGCAAAACCTTTCTTTCCTCTCTTGTGGAACCACAGAATCATCTCTTCAGACAGTGGGACGGCCCCTGGGGAACGCCCGAGGCCAAAGTTCTCCTCTGGTTAAGAGTGGATCATTCCTGTCTGGAATGATGCATTTGGTAGCAATGGTCATCTGTCGGGCAGGCCTTTGCCCGTTGGAGCCAGGCTCAGGGACTTAGTGACCTGAACGATCATATCCCCCCCCCCCCCCCCGCAAAGGCAAATGTCTCCTGCCGCATTCTGAATTGGCTTGTACTCTTCGGCCAAAAAAAGAGGCAATGCTTTTCCCCTTTGCTTGGCTGTGCTTTGCAACTTTGGAGAGGTAGTGGCCTCTAGTGGTCAAAAGAGGAACAGCTCACGACAGCTTCAGAGATTGTGTTCAGAGCTGCAGAGCGGGTACATGCTTGAGTGCAAAAGCCAGCTCCTGAGTTTGGGCCGCATCAAGTATGGGGTGCCTTTTGTTGCCCAGTGATGCAGTGGCTCAAGTGGTTAAGACGCTGAACGGCAGACCGGAAAGTTGGTAGTTCAGCAGTTCGAGACCCGAGGGCCCCGTGACGGAGTGAGGTCCTGTCTCTGGCCCCAGCTCCTGCCAACCTAGCAGTTCGAAAGCAAGAAATTGCAAGTAGATAAATAGGTACCACTTCAGTGGGAAGATAACAGCGTTCCATGCGCCTCGGCGTCTAGTCATGCCGGCCACATGACCACGGAGAAGTCTTCAGACAGCGTTGGCTCTTCAGCTTGGAAACGGAGATGAGCACCGCAACCCTAGAGTTGGATTCGTTTGGCTTTCGAGCAAGGGAAACCTTTACCTTTACTTAATCCGAATCAGGGGTAGCGCTTTTATCACAGATGTTATGTGGGATAATGCGTCAGTTCCTGTGAAGGTGATTCTTTGCCAGGTGATAATAGAATAGCAATTGTTTTGGACGTAGCACATAGGAATTTTCTGATGGCCCAGAAGAGGCAGGGGTCTTTTGGGGCCGGAGTGCTCCAGGAGCCCAGGTGCCCAGCTCCCCCTGCTGCCTCCCTAGGCCAGCGCTGGAGTGTTGCGGCCCTGGGAGGCCAGAAGAGCCCCCCCACCGCCGCCGCCTCCCGGGGTAACTGAGGGATCTGTGGGGGGTGGCGGAGGCTTGATTGGGGTGGGTGGGAGAGCCTCCCCCCATCTCTTTGCCCTCTTTCTTTCCCTCCTTTCCTTCCCCTTTCCTTTTCTTTCCCTCCTTTTCTTTTTCTCATTCTTTCTTTCATTCCCTCCTTTCATTCTCTCCTTTCCCCCTTTCCCTCCTTCCCTTCTCGCTCTTTCTTTCCCTCCTCCTTTCCTTCTCTTTTCCTCTTTCCTTCCTTCTTTCCTTCTCTTTCACTCTTTCATTCCTTCATTTCTTCTCTCTTTCCTCCTCCTGCGGCCCAACTCTAGTGAGAAGAGGTTTAAACTTTAAACCCCTTCTGTCTTCGCTCCCCCCCCACACCCTGGAAAGGGAAGGGGAGGCTTTTGAATATGCCTCCCCCCTTTTGCTTCCCCTTCTGACATCACTTCCGGTGATGGCAGGGGGGCGCTGCATATGCTAATGAGCTAATATGCTAATAGCCTAGTCGCTCATTAGCATACCGTATGTTAATGAGCTCATGCAGCTCTTTTTCTAGGAAAAGACCCCTGAGAAGAGGAAATGTAGAATCAGACTTTGGAAAATGGATAGTGGGTCCCAAAAGGTTTTCTAATACGTACTCTTCAATTCTGTGGATTTCTTTAACTTGCACAGGGGGAGATTATATCTTCCCACCAGAGGCCAGTTTTCTGCCAAACAAAATGTTTAAAGGTTTAGAACAAGGTTCGAGTCCAGTGGGGCACCATTAAGACCAACAAAGTTTAGTTCTGGGTATAAGCTTTCACGTGCACGCACACTGTTTCACATGGAGACAGTTCTTGGTTTGATTCCTGGCATCTCTAGCTAAGGGTGTGCATGTGCACGAAAGCCTTATATTCAGAATTTGAAGTGTTCCTGCACACAAAAGCTTATGCCCAGAATTAAACTTTGTTGGTCTTAAAGGTGCCACTGGACTCAAACTTTATTCTGTTGCTTCAGACCAACATGGCTACCCACCTGAATCTGTTTAAAGGTTTGTTAGCTTTCAAGAGGGAGAAAGAATTGTTATAAAATGGCATTTAGTGTAATAGAAAATGATTATATGGGGATTATATATAACTAGGAAAAAGATTTGTTGTGGAAAATAAATACAACATACTCTAGAAAGAGGCTCTGGGCGGGTGTCCCTGCCTTGGACACTCAGTGTCAATTTGCTGTGGCAACCTCAGCAGGGTATAATGACACTGAGTCCACCATTTTCTCCAGAGGAACTGATCTCTGCTACCTAAAGAACAGTTGTAATTTTGAGTGATCTCCAGCCCTCACCTGGAGATTGGCAACAATGGTTCCCCAGAAGGGAATGGTTGGTTTGGAGGGTGGAGTCTATGGCTTTGTACCTGTCCAAGGTCCCACGCCTCCTGAAACTTCACCCTCTCCAGGTTCCATCCCTCACATCTCCAGGAATTTCCCACCTGGAGTTGGCAACCCTATCTCCTTCCCAGCCAATCATCAACCTATCTTTATTTTCCCCTCACTCTTCAACTTTCCACCCCCCCACACACCTGCAGCCCCTCCCGTGCTGTCATACGGGGGCCACCTCAGCATATAAGGATACAGAGCCCACCATTTTCTCCAGGGGAACTGATCTCTGCCATGTGGAAAGCAGTTGTAATTCTGAGTGATCTCCAGCCCTCACCTGGAAATTGGAAACATTTTATCTCAGAACAGCAAACTGTTTAGAATGTTAGAGGCAAAAGCCAATCAAGTCGCATATGCAAACGACCTCTGTGTTCCGAGGCAAAGGCCAATGAGGCTGCATATGCAAATAACCTCTGTGTTCTGACTGGCTATGGGGGGGAGAGGAACAGTAAACTGTTTATAATGTTGGATGTGAGACTCAAGCAATGCAGCCAGTGGATAGGGAATGATTCTGAGTGACACGCCAGGGCGCCAACCAATTCCGGAGCGTGTGGAATGTTCTAGAGAAGTGCCACCACCATTCGGCTTTTATATATAAAAGGGAGATGTTTTCAAGACAGGAGACGTTCAGAGGTGGTTTGCCATTGCCTGCCTCTGTGCTGCAACCCTGGACTTCCTTGGCAGTCTCGAAATACTGACTAGTGCCGAGCCTACTTAGCTTCCGAGATCTGATGAGAAATTTTAAATATTGAACCTTCTTTTAAGGGCTAGGAATTTACATGGGGGGGTACTGAGATTGGTAAATTCTATGTGTCCTGGAATTCTTTTGTCCTGGAATACATATGCAGCTCTGGGACATGGGAGAAGTATATGATTTGAGCGGAAACAGTTTCATGGAGTCCCGATAGGACATGCAGTAGATTTGGATATGGAAACTTGCAAATGCAATTCATTTGCGTGGTATCATTGTACTACTTGGAGCATATTGATTGTGTAGAAAATCAGCTGTGTTTAAGCTAGAAATGGATCCTCGAAAGAGTCGTGGGCTGTGAATGCAGTGGGCTGTCTTACTTTAAAACCTGCGTTCCTGACATTCTGAATGTCCGGTGCAGATAGTTGGACTGGATTATACACAAGATCCCCCCACCCCCAGTCTTTCAATTGCGAAATCCTTTATATGCATCTTCTGGTAGTCCCCGGCCCGGGGGATGTCCGTCTAGCTTCGACCAGGGCCAGGGCTTTTTCTGTCTTGCCCCTGGCCTGGTGGCACATGCTCCCACTGGAGACCAGGCCTTGCGGGACTTCTTATCGTTCTGCAGGACCTCTAAGATGGAGCTGTTCCGCCAGGCCTTTCGTTGAGGCAGAGGGTGTCCAATGAAGTGGGCCTCCCTTACTGAAGTCTGCCATCATTATTCGGCCCAGATTAAGAAGATCTCTGGACTTTAGCACTCCAGCTGAGACTGTGTTTGTGTTTATACACAACGGTCATCTTCTGGGCGTGGAACAGGGGTCACTGGGGTTGTGGAGGGGGAGGTATTTGTGTATTTCCTGCATTGTGCAGGGGGGTTGGACTAGATGACCCTGGAGGTCCCTTCCAGCTCTAGGATTCTACGTTTTAAACTGTATTACTTAGTTGTTTTAAAATATTGTTATATTTATTAGTGTATGTTTTTATCTATTTATGACGTGATCTGCTCTGAGTCCACTTGTGGAAGGGCGGAATCCAAATCCAAATAAATAAATAAATAAAAATGTTCCCTGGTTAGTTGTGAGCTCAGCACTCTTTTAATCCACAGTACACGCATACGAACATCTAATCTGTTTTTCCCCCTTTTGTCTTGTAGATCCCAAGAGACCTGTGAAAAAATGTAAGTTAGTTATGTGGATATTTGTTTGTGGGAATGGGGAATTAGACATAGTCTTTGCCCGACAAAGCTTAGGCATACTGGGCTTCTGTGAAAACACTTTCTTTCTCATCCTGGGGTTTTGGAAGCTGCTGCAAGGCTGTTCCGAAAGGTTCCTTGAATGGAATACAACAGAGTTCCCCAAAGTGGTGCCCCCAACACCATTCCTGGTGCCCACCATGTGTTGTAAAAAGTGGGTGGGGCTGGGTGGGGCTTTTGCCCAGCACGGCTTCTGACTGGCTGTGCAGGTTTCTTAAAACATTGCTTTGGCAGCAGCTGTTACCACAGCACAAGGGTCTTGACTGTGTGACTGAGGGTAAGTTATAGCAGCCATTCAGTGCCCGGCTCTGTGTCTTGTGGCAGCTGTTTGGGGGCTGTGCCCACCACAGTGTTCCAAAATGTGCCTGCAGGCTCAAAAAAGGTTGGGGACCCCTGGGATAGAAGAATCCTTTGGGGACAACCTTTACCTGAACACTGTCCAGCTGTGCGTGCACTCTGTACCTTCCGGTCCAGGTATTGTTGGCAGCTCCTCAGTACCACAGTCTCTCCAGCTTTTGGAGATTCCTCCTTAGGGCCAAGCACATGGAGCTGGTGTGCCGCTAAGGGGTAAAGGGAGCCAAGGAATCGGGAGGGGGCTGGCGACTTCCGGCCACCAGCTAGATTGGCCTGGCCGATCCCCTCACACGGATCCAGAGCTAAATCGGCCCTCGGAGTTGATGCTCAGCAGCGTTCTGAGCATCGTTTGGTGGAACAGCAAAAGCAGTGTTGTGGGGTTTTTTGGCTATGCGTGTGCATTTGTGTCCTTACTTCCAGGGAAAAAGCCGAGGCCTCCGAACTTGACGATCCCGCCGGCCAACAAACAGCCTTCAGTTCCCCCAACGTAAGTTCGGGGGGGGGGGATATATGTGTGGCGAAAACAGGGAATAAAGAGGCTGTGTCATATTGGAGCACTGAGAGGAAATGTAGAAAGGCCTGTTAGGATAAGGGGGGCTCTCTGGGCAAAATTCTGCCCCCAAACCCTGAGGCAAGAAGCAATGCTCCCTCTAAGCTGTGAAGGTTTGTGGGCAAAAATCCTACTTTGTGAGCTACTGGTATGAAAGTTGTGAGCGAGTGATTTGGCTCCTGCAGAAATTGGTGTGCTCTGGAGCCATCCTTCCTGAGCTAAGACAAAAATGCGTGAGCCGGAGGCTTAAAAACTGTGAGCTAACTCACACTAACTCAGCTTAGAGGGAACACTGGCTAGAAGGTAACTGGAGGGGTGGGGTCCAATGTTCCCTCTAAGCTGTGAAGGTTTGTGGTCTTAAAGGTGCCCCTGGACTCAAACTTTGTTCCGTTGCTTCAGATCAACACAGTGACCCACCTGAATCTTCCAGCAGAGAAAGAAAGCTTAGGTTGGACAGGAGGGCCAGCTCTATGCTCTTCTCCAAAGGAGAAACCTGATTCCTTCTGATATCCTGCATCAGTCATGTGTTCCAAACGGCAATCAGCGCTGGGGGAGGGGTTGCCTCTCTGCTACTGGGTGGGCCATACCAAAGCAAAGTCTGTCTCCGATGGGCAATGTAAGGCAGGTGTTTGTGGTTTGAGCGTCAAGCTAGGATCGGGGAAGCCTGAATTCGAATTCCCACTCTGCCATGGAAGCCGGCTGGGGGGACACGGGGCCAGTCACCTGTTCTCAGACTCATCCACCTCACAGGTTGTTGTGCAGATAAAATGGTGGAGGGGAGAATGTTTGTAAGCCGCTTTGGGGAGAAAGGTGGGGGGGGGGTATAAATGAAGGAAATAAAATAAAAATAAATAATGATGTGTTTCACTTTGCAGGCCTCCGAGGAACTTGGATTCCAGGACTTTTATTACCATTGGTGAAAGGGTATGTAGTTTTCCCCCCTTCTCTTCTTTTGGTACTATTGCTCCGTAGAGGCTTTAAAGAAAATAATTGTCCTGTGCTGCTTAGGTGTATTACTTGGTTTCTTCTTCCCCCATCTTCTCAGAACAAGTCTGTGATTGGGGGGAGGGGCATAGCCTGGCCGAAGATCACCCAGTGTGGGTGAGTGGGGATTCGAACCCGAGGCTGCCTGGCCCTAGTCTTACAGCGTGGGGCCCGTGAGAGGCTGCAGCACCCGCCGACGTGTCTCCTGGTGTCCAGTCCTTCCTCCCTCCAAGCAGAGAGCCAGTCCTGGCTGGTCTTGACCTCCTGGGTGCATCCATTTGGAACGGCTGCCTGTCAATAGGGTGCTTGGATGAGAACCGCCAAACATTTTGTGATCAGCCTTATTTCTTTTTAGAGAGAGCCAGTTTGGTGTAGTGTTGAAGTGCGCGGACTCTAATCTGGGAGAACCGGGCTTGATTCCCCACTCCTCCACTGGCACCTGGCTGGATGACCTTGGGCAAGCCGAGCCGTTCTTGAAAAAGAGCAGTCTCTGTCACAGGGTGTCTGTTGTGGGGAGGGGAAGGGAAAGGAGTTTGTAAGCCGCTCTGAGACACCTTTGGGTAGTGAAGGGCGGGGTATAAATCCAATCTCCTCTTCTTCTTTTTATTTTGGGGGCGGTGGCCTCCCCTGTCCTCCTTCAAAAATCCAAAAAGTGCCCCCAGGATGAAAAAAGATGAGGGAACCTTGCCATGCTAGGCCTTTATCAGCGGATAGCAGGAGATAGAAGGGGAAGTCGTGGAAGTAGTGACAGACTTCACGTTCCTGGGATCCCAGATCACCGCAGACTGTGACAGCAGCCAAAAAATTAAAAGACGCCTGCTCCTTGGGAGGAAAGTGATGGTGAACCTCAACAGCATGATAAAAAGTAGAGACATCACCCTGCCAACAAAAGTCCGCATGGTCAAAGCAATGGTATTCCCAGTAGTCATGTATGGCTGCGAGAGTTGGACTATACGGAAGGCCGAGCGCCGAAGAATAGATTCTTTTGAACTATGGTGCTGGAGAAGACTCTTGAGAGTCCCTTGGACTGCAAGAAGAACAAATCAGTCAATCCTAAAAGAAATCAACCCTGACTGTTCCCTGGAAGGCCAGATAATGAAACTGAAGCTCAAATACTTTGGCCACCAAATGAGAAGGGAGCACTCACTGGAGAAGACCCTGATGCTGGGAAAGATTGAAGGTCAAAGAAGACGGGGATGGCAAAGGATGAGATGGTTAGACAGTGTCATCGATGCAACGAACATGAAGTTGAGCAAACTTCAGAGGACGGCGGAAGACAGGAGAGCCTGATGTGATCTTGTCCATGGGTTCGCAAAGAGTCGGACTCGACTGTGTGACTGAACAACAACAAGCAGGAGTCAGCAAGAGAGTCCAGGGTTCCCGCCTTTCCTTGTGAGGTGTTTCTGGTGTGAAAGGAGGCCAGAGGCCTCTTTTTGCTCCATCCTAAAAAAAACACAATACCCTGTACCCTGAGACGAAGAGCTCACTTCCTTTGTCCTAACGCTCTTCAGCCAGTCAGTGGTACTTTGTGCCCCTCTGCGCGCGCCCCCAACAAACGTCCTCTCTCTCCCACCCTTGGCTTCCCTTCATTGTGCGTTCCTGATGTGTGGGACAGCCGTGTCACTTTCGGTCACGCTGTGGATGGCTTTTTTATTCCTCTTCAGTTCCTCCTTTCTCTTAAAAAAAAAAAAATAATCCTACCAAAATTTCCACTGGGCATGTGGTGACCCGGCAGCAGGGGGAGGGAATCCCCTCCTCTGCAGACTCATAGCACAGCACTGCCTAGAAAGGGTGTCCACTGCTCTCTTCTCTGGTTACTGGCCGCCCGGGAGAGACCTGCTGTCGTGCTAAGAATAGATCCTTCAAGATGGCCGGCCCTGGCCACCCTCCCCAGCCCCCACAGATGGAGTTGGAAGGATGGAAAGGGGTGATATTTATTCACCTACAAGCCCCCCCCGGACCCCAGGAACAGGCTGGCTATTTATTTATTTAGAAGAAGAAGAATAAGAGATTGGATTTATACCCCGGTCTTCACTACCCAAAGGTGTCTCAGAGTGGCTTACAAACTCCTTTCCCTTCACCTCCCCACAACAGGCACCCTGTGAGGTAGGTGGGGCTGAGAGAGCTCTTGACAGTAACTGCTCTTTTTCAAGAACAGCTCTTATCAGAACTACGGCTTGCCCAAGGTCATCCAGCCAGGTACAAGTGGAGGAGTGGGGAATCAAACCCGGTTCTCCCAGATTAGAGTCCGCGCACTTAATCACTACACCAAACTGGCTCTCTGGACTTATATCCCACTCCCCCCCACTGACGCGGGGCTCAGGGCGGGTAGCGTCCTATCAAAATCAATAAATACAATCGGGATATTAAATTAAACATTCTAAAAACTGAACAGTTAACACATTGAAACAGTGCAGTGCTAAGCAAATCAGATGACTCAAAACCATCAGACCTCTCTGGATGATTACAATCACACCATACCAGATTTAGATGGAATTTTCCATCGACCTCACTGTAAGCTTGGTGGAATGAGTCCGTTTTGCAGGCCCTGCGGAACTGTTTCGTTTTCCTTCTTGTTGGGTCTTATGAGCCCAAACAAGAAGTTGAGAAGTTTCTGGTTTGGCCAGGGCCCCGGTCTTGCGCTTGTTGTGGGTGCCGCCTCTCCACCGCCTCTGGCTTTCCACTTCTGTGAGATGGCCGTGATTAATGTTGAGCTGCCTGGGCGACTTTTCTTTATTCTGAAATTCTTCAATTTAATATTGGGGGGGGGGGAGGTGGCAGCAATTTGGTTTATTTGGCTACCAAGACTACCCTGGAGGCCTCTTTAAAGCAGCTCAAGGGATCCACACGATGCACCCCAATTGTGAATAACGTCAAACCTGAGGGTTTTTGTTAAATAAATGGGATTCTGCACCAAGAAAAGCAAAATTCTGTCCCCAGTCTGTATTATGCAAATGAACAGATTTGTTTATTTATTAGAGCAATTTGAGGTCAGGAAGGGGAAATGCCCAGAGTGCAAAACAACCACATTTAAATACAGTTGAAACAAGCAAACGTTATGGACAGGTCCTGATTCACGGGGCCAGCTAATGCAGGCTGCCAGCCAGAGGCTAAGAACTGGTCCAAGGGCTTGTGCCTCGCTTCGCGCTCAGGTTTAAGTACCTGCAAGCAGATGGGGGTTGTGCATCTCTCTATACCCAGGTTTAAGTAGAATAGGAGGAGACTGGATTTATACCCCCACCCTTCACTACCTGAAGGAGTCTCAGACAGGCTTACAATCTCCTTTCCCTTCCCCTCCCCACAACAGATGCCCTGTGAGGTAGGTGGGGCTGAGAGAGCTCTTTTGAGGACTGCTCTTGAGAGAACAGCTCTGAAATAACTTGTGACTGATCCAAGGTCACACCAGCAGCTGCATGCAGAGGAGTGGGGAATCCAACCCGGTTCTCCCAGATTAGAGTCCGTGCTCCTAGCCACGACACCAAACTGGCTCTCCTGCAAGTACCTGCAAGCAGAAGGGAAAACTAAGCTCAGATAGTATTCAGCTGCTCCTGGCCAGCTAGCAGGTTCTTCCCAACTTCCTCCAGTTAAAGCCTACTTGTGGTACTACTCTGCGAATGGGTAAGATCTGTTGGTGCCCCACCCACACACCTTCTCATTGGTGGTTCCCACCTTTGTGGCACAGCCTGCCCGTGAAAGTCAGGAAGGTGCCCACGCGTCTGTCATTCTACAAAATGTGTGAAGCAGAAATTGTATGAGGGAGTATAACTGTAGCAGAACCGAACAGTCCAGGAGGGAAGCTTTTTAACTGAAGAGGACAGTAATCTGCTGCAAAGATTATTGTCGGTATCCCTCCTTTTTTTACTGCATTGTCTTCTACCCGGTAGTGCACATTCTATATTGCTTATAGTATACTTTGCCTTAGTTGAGGCTTCCCATTGCTCTCTTAACTCTGTAATCTTAGTCCCATATCTTTGTTGACTGGCTGTCTTGTGCTATCTGTCTGCGCTGTTTCACATCTGTAATCCATCCCATGTCTCAGCAAAGGCGGATTGTCCACAAAGTAAATTAAAGCACACGGGCTTTATTTCATATAACTTCTTCTTGTCCCTTATTTCATGTAAGTTCTGCAGTTCCTCCTTTCCAGGACTAATCTCACAAGGCCCCACGTCTTCTGTGGCTCCTGAGGTTTTTTGCAGGCGTTGTTTGCATGTGCTGTCTTAAGGACTAGAAACCTGCTTGGCTTTGTCACTTTGGTGTTAACATCGGTGCGTTCTTTCTTTTGGCTTCCAGTGCTTGCACTGAGGCAGTAGTTGAAGCCCTGGTTTGCCTGCTGCTCTAAGAAAAGCAAAAAAGAAAACAGTGTGGGGGTTGCCTGGGCAGGGGCCCTCTTTGAAGCGCTTTGAAGAGTCGACACCGATTTTTGGGAAGGGGAACGATGTAGAAAGCCGGCTTCCTTCCTCTCTTTGTGGTTTCTCTGCAGACTGACCCAAATGCACATTTGTCATTTGGAACTGTGCAACCTCAAGAGACTCTGTGCACGTGACTCTTCCAAGCCGCCGAGGAATCCACGGGGCTTTCTGAAACCTGCTCCCCTCCCCGAGTGCCAAAGCAGCTCACAAAGGCGCAAGCTGTTGATGGCCATCGTGAATAGGCGTATTTTGAATCAGACCCAACTTCGGAATAAATTTGGGGGGCGGGTTTCCTATCCATGGCTCAAACACCTAGGAACGACGTGGCGAATTAGCACCTACATTTCATCATGTGAGGGGGAAGTAAACACTGGGTAGGCTGCTCCTAGCTGTTTCAGCTGTACTAGTTTTCTGCTTGCATGGTGGTGGTGGAATCATAGAATCACAGAGTTGGAAAGGGCCGTGCAGGCCATCTAGTCCAACCCCCCCCCCCCCGACTCCCATGCACAGCACACCATAGAGC